TCTATTAAATGTAAATGATACTAAACAGATGATATATAATTAAATAAACTTTTTGTTTGACCGTAACTTTTGTAATAATGGATGACCAAATTATACTACATTAATCTGTAGATTCCAATTCATATTAAAACTTTATAAATTTTATAGATTCTATGAATTTATACTAAATGTTACAAATCTCTTATCTGAAATAACAATTTTCAAGATAAGCGAAGTTGTATCTTCTATTTCAATTAACTTAATCAATTGAAGAAAACATAACAGTATCATTGAATTTATCTAGTGTGTCTATACAGCTTAGTATATTTCGTCTAATCATTTTATTATAGAAAATATATATAAATATCTCCCTGATTCAATATCCAGCTACATCAAGCTAGCATAAGATACATAATTTCGATAATATTTTAACAAATAACGAGCAGCAGTTAAAACTCAATCGGAGTCACACAAAGCAGCGCCCTTGTCAATGTGTGCGAGGATCAAGATCATCAACTGCCGCCTCTAAATGGATGAACCGAATATTCTGCTGATCAGAATACTTGCTCCTTTTAACCGAATCGCACATTCCTCGGACACTTTTCATACTGCCAATAACAACTGCAATAATTATAACACTAAGTGATAATAATTTAAAGAAATTTCTTAAGCTAAAGGAAAATATATTTTTTCGTTTTCGATCAGACGGGCTCAGTCTTCCTAGACTCAATGTTGACTTTCGAATTCGTCATAAGCGTATCAAAGTCTAGGAATGGTCTACTGTTAATCTTAATTATCTCAGAGTCTATGGATCTATGAATCAGTGTGATAACACAGCGTGCGATTGCAGATTCCCACACAGTCTCGCGAAGCGACTCGAGTCAGCCGATAACACAGTTAGCTTAAACGGACTTTGGATCCCTTGGCACATGCTCGAACACACGCGATACTACGCTGTCGGTGAATCCCGATTGCGGATTGGTCAATGTACGAAGCGTTACGCTCTAACGTGAGGTTATAAAGTATGGAATTATAGCTCATCGAGCCGCATTTGTACTCGTGTTTCATTTGCGGCGAACTCTAAGCAATGAAGTGACTTAACTGGCTGGTTAAAAACCAATACGTGAGTGAGTTTTATTATTGTGCTGCAGTAAGTTCCATTAGTATTCTTAATCGCTTGTTAAAACTGAAATTGTGGAGTAAATCAAGTGATTTATAATTTTGTATTGTTTTCAGAAGAAAAATCTGTATAATTTTCGATAAGGAAGTACGTATATTTTCATTTTTGGCTGTACAGTAAAGTCTCCCTAATTGACCCTCAGCTTGTACACAAAAATGGATAATTTGGAGAGACGAGATACGATTATCCGAGCCTTGCGGCACGTTTTTATAGTTACCGATTGTTAACAATTATAAAAACTAGCCGCACGGCTCGAATAATTGTATCTCCTCTTCTCAAATTTTTCTTCATTTTTTTCTTTAATCTTTTTTTTCCATTTCTGTGTACTAACTGAGGGTCAATTAGGGAGAATTTACTGCATTTCCGAAAGAGGATATACTGTCGCCGTTCGAGGTAGCATTTGGAGGGTGCATGGGAAAGGATAAAAAATATAAAATATTAGCTTCGGGCATTTAATAGTTTTCAAGATATTCACAAAAATTGTTTAATGCTATACATTGAATGCAGCGTCGTCACTAACGACGTCACTAATTTCGCTCGCTAAAAAACTAAACTAACTAAAACCTAAACCAGACCAAGTGCACTTACTAGTGAATCCGAAAATGTATTGTAAAAATTGTTTGAGAATCGTCGAAATTTCTCTCTCGTTCGAAAAATAAACTAAACCAGATCTAACCCACACCAACTGTTTGGACACCCTATAGATATTGAAACCGGTGCCGCCCCCATTTTATCGACTGCTGGACTTCAGATGACAGACGACGCGACGCGGTAGTCGAAGTCGAAACTATCGCAACGAAGTTACACGCGTTACTAACTGCTGGATAGGCGTCATACTCGGATAAGAAAGTTGAAAAAACATAATTTTTTCTTTTTTTCTATCATTCCTATCAATTGTAATATGAAAAACTCTTTGTACACTTATTCCATAGAAAACTATTCGTTTAACGTCTTAAAAAAATTCAAGTCTTTTGAACCAATTTTAAAAAAGTTGATCCGATTGAAAAGGCGTTAACGTATTTTCCGAGGCGACTGTACATTCCCGTAGATTTTGTCGAGAAAACTCCAAAAATTCAAGTCCCAAGGTGCACAAAGATTGTTGGACGCGTTCGAAGTTGACGAATTTCAAGCGTTTTTGACGTGTTAAAAATCATAAGATCTGCAATTGTTTTTAACAAACGCAACTTTCTCATCGGAGAACAATGTTGAAAATTCTGAAAAAAATTAAAAACGTCAGATTATAAAATAATAAACGTCAGAATACAGTGGGCCCTCGACTTTCGCACACGATTGGTTCCTGATAGTGTGTGCGAATATTGAATGTTCGAAAGTAGAAACGTGTTAAAAATACGCACCAAAAACTAAAGTATTTATTTATTTATTTAGCTTTCGGGTCTTTTCTTTATAAACTAGTCAAGAGTTAGTTGAGTACCTCTTTTTTTTTTTCTTTTCGTGGTAAAGATTTCTATAACACGCAGTGTCTTTTTGTACTGCCCTACGTACTTGAGATATACGTCCTCCATTGGGATCGCATTCTTCCATAATAGTTGAAAATTTCTCTAGATGCATAAAAGTTTCATTCATATTTTTAATTGTCAAAGTCTTGACGTTTTTATCGGCTTCTTCCTCCTCACTTTCGTTGTATATTTTATTGTTAATCAATTGTTGCTCAGTTAAGTATTCATTTGACAACGGTACTGAGTGAGATTCGATTAATTTGTTAACATCGTCATTGTTGACATCCAAGTTAAATCCATTCATGAGGTTAACTATTTCATCGGTGCTAGTTTCCGGTGTTTCTTCAAAATGGAGACTCAGTCCTGACCTCTGACGGCCAGTCTTGACCTCTTGATCGGAACAACATTGTAACCTGATGGCCGAAGTCTGATGTCCCCTGAGAGAGGCATCCAATTACTATATGTAACCTGCTCGACTCACGATGTCCACTCAGAGGGAACATTCGACCGCAAAGGCTTACAAAGTTGAATTTTTAAAAATGTGCGAAATAGCGAATTGTGCGAAAGTAGAATGTGCGAAAGTCGAGGGTCGCCTGTATAATTTATAAAATATAATTAAATATTATAAAATAAATAAACGTCAGATTATATTTTTATAACAATAATATTCAATATTCGTTACAATGGTGAAGAATTTTTTTAATATCGATAAATAAAACATTGTCATTATGTACATAGAAAATTTTCATGACTATGTTTCATGTATTCTATCCAATTTTATATTCAACAATTTGTATTATTATATTTTATGAATTGTATCCTATTTTATATTTAGCAAATTTTATTCTATACATAATAAAATATGCGTGTCAACGATTGTTTAGTAATGGGGCAGAGAGGGTACAAAAGTATGTCTATAATAAATAGATCGTCACTGAAACTCGAAATGAAAATGGCACGAAGCTTCTGCTCTCCACAACTTTAATGTTCGATACCATTTCGATGGTGATTCTGCATTTGCATTGGTACATTTCGTTCTCCAACCAGCATTTTTGTAATCCTTGTCTGCGAAAAAAAGATCAATTAATAACATGCAAAACATCGTCAAACCTTCGTTTTCTCATAATTAACGCAAAATATCACTGATTTAGACTGAGACAACATCTGCTATGATTAATATGAAAAATGTTGTTTTTCGTTTCAATTAATTAATCAATCAATTATTTTTTGATTCAAACGTTTTTAGGTACAAATAATAAATATATGCTAGTACTATAATTACTATAATCTGTATAAAAAAGAATCGTTGCATAACAATCCTTTGATGGAAATATTTTTAGTTATAAATAATCGCGATATACAGAGACCATAACTGTTATACTCAATATAACAAATGTCGATGCATAAAAATTATTATTTTAATTTAATTGATTTTAGTTTTACGTATTAATTATATACGACCGAAATTTCGTTTCCGTTTTCCATAATCGTTATTGATTACGGGTTCGTTTAGATTAATTATATTATTATATTTATAAATTATAAGAGTTATCGTATAGAGGGAAATACCTTATAAAATTCCGTAAAATTAAACAGAACCAAACTCACACCAAACATTGTTTCAACACTTCCAATCTCGACTAAATACTCCAACAAAAACTCCATAAAATTAAATTAATCTATTTAATGGAATCTCTCTCTCTCTCTTTCTCTCTCTCTCTCTCTCCCTCTCTCTCTTTCTCTCTGTGAAGTATACAAACCAGAAGACTTCTTATCGCTTTCAGGAGCCACACAGCCATTTTGATATTCATATGGTTGCCCTTCCTCCTCGTGCTGTAGTCAAAGCCAAGTAAGGGTATAATAACGTAAGAAACAGAGCCCGCCAATATTACACTGATCACTAAATATAAGTGGATCATCTTGCAGAGATGATCATGGGTATTCCATACCCCACGTTTTACTGAAAACATCAACCAGAAAGAGATTTCTGGTAAGTATTTGGCGAGCAGGGTTAAATATTCCTGCACGGCATTGTAGATTTTCATTCGAGCGGTCATCAGTCCATACTCAGCTCGGAAGAGCGGGTCAAGTGTTACAGAGATCTCGTGCAACTTACAGCGGCCGAATGCTTGTATATTCCCTAGGAGCATCTGAAATGCTTCCGTTAGCGTGTCTGCTTCGCGCTTGTCCGTGGGGGAGGTGTACTGTCTCAGTAAATCAAGGACCTCGAGCAATGCCATCCTTGGGTGTATTAGCATCTGCAAAACATGATGCAAAGCATCAGGAAATTTTTACTATAGAAAATTGTGTTGTTTGTAGAAAAATTGTTTACAGGATAATAAATTGTTTATAGAAAATCAAACGGTTACCAAGAAGGAATAGAAAAGGTCGAACAGAGTGGATTGTAGATTCTATGTTCACAGGGTGTCCCGAAAATCCCGTGACACATAGCAAAGGATGATTCCTGAGGCGATTTGAAGCAACTTTTTCCTTAGCGAAAATATTCTTCGCGGTATCGTTAATGAGTTACAAGCAAAAAAGCACCAATCGAAGAGCGAGTACGGCTGGCGCTCCACTCCCGCGAACAGTGCCGCGTCGAGCTCGCTATCCCACCGGAACGCGTCAACTGTACTCGCTCTCCCATTGGTCCGCGTTTTTCGCTAATAACTCGTTAACGAAGGTGCAACGAACATTTTCGTCAAGATAGAAGTTTCTTTAAATCGCATCGGGAATCATTTTATTCAGACTATTCGAGTATTTTTGGGACACTCCGCGGCCGCGCATTTTATGCGTTTATGACACATTTTAACCCTTTGCACCCTTCAACTTAAAAACTGACATATTTCTCCCAACGTACAGTATGACTTTTTATTTGTTTTGTATTACATGCATATGAAATTCTGCTTAATTCTTCGTACATACTTGCATTTTTAACAATTCTTTAAATATAAACCGCCCTAATAATTTAAGAACTATTTGAAGAAATTAAATAGCAATTTTCTGTGGCACCTCGGAGTCGCCATTCGAGTGTAAAGGGTTAAATGGGTCAAATAGAAATTGTTACGACAGAAGAATTTGAGTATAGGTGTTAAGCATTTAATTACAATTATTTTTTGATAATCAGAAATAAAATATTATATATATACAGGGTGTCCCAAAAATGTCTCGCATTGCGGAAATGTGGGGTAGCTGAGACCATTCTAAGTAACTTTTTCCTTTGCGAAAATGCAATCTGCGGCTTTGTTTACGAGTTATTAATGAAAAACACCGACCAATGAGAGACAATGGCGCGAAACACAAATTTGTCAAACACAAACACAAAATGGTCAATCGATCGAGTGCCATGTGCTCCTACCACTGATTTTGACAGCTGAAGGGGGACTCTGTGCCGTGTTCAAATCAATGAACAAGTCACGGAGCATGAACTTTCGATATTTTGTTTACCACGTGGCAGTGATAATTTTAAGAAAAACGCTGTTCATCCTTATTTCAGAATGTCTGAAGAATATTTAATAATTTTTCAGACCCGAAATAATAAGTATGACAGCCGTTTTAATTTTCTGGTGTGTATGACACCTCGTATGTACCATATGAAATTTTTATGCAAGGCGAAGATTAACAAAGTTCGTAAATGTTAATTTAAATAATTCCGCGTCCGAACACAATTCAACGTACGATTCGCAAAGCTAATTTAATAAATAATAATCGTGTTAAAGGACGTAAGAGATTTGTTTGATAGAGAAATATGAAGAATATTATCAATAAGAAACTCGCCCATTTAGTTGTAAATTCACTCCATAGTCGGAAATGTGTGCTGAAGGATAGTGCATTGACCTCGTACAATGTATGATGCACTGCACAGCTGATTTGTATCCGACAGTAACGAACAATCTCCAGACAGACTATTCCAAAATTCACTTTTACTGCATTATCACTAAACAAATATCAATAATATCTGCGGACGAACTTCCCTGGGTTAATATGTATGGCCCTGAAAAGAGCCAATTTTATAATGCTGCGCGTTCAAAGTTCGTATCGTTAACAACACGTACTGCGTACGAACTGCAGAAGATTGGCACGATGGACGACAATGTTTCGTTTTCCTACGAGCGAGTTTCAACTGTTTCCCATCGAACGCGAACATTGTCGGCCATCGTGCCAGTCTTCGGCAGTTCGTTCCGAGCATTAATATGAAAAGGACGTTGCGAGAGAATTTTCTTAATTATTCTTGTACGGTGCGATCAACGTGTTTACTCCAAGGGTGCTGCAAAGGGTTCAGGAGAACATTACGAAATGTGTCAACGCGATACGTGTTGTTAACGGTGCGAACTTTGAACGTGTCGCATTCAAAAATCGGCTCTTTTCAGGGCCATACATATTAACCCAGGAAAGTTCGTCCGTAAATATTATTGATAAGTTATCAGTGTTTAGTGATAATGTAGTAAAAGTGACCGTTGGAATAGCCTGCCTGGAGTCATCCTTCTGTTCGTCGCCGTCGGATACAGATCAGCTGTGCAGTTCATTATACATTGTACGAGGTCAATGCACTATCTTCCTGCACACATTTCCGTGCATGAAGTGGATTTACAACTAAATGAGTGAGTTTCTTAGTGATAATATTCTTCATATTTCTCTATTCAAACAAATCTCTTACGTCCTTTAACACGATTATTATTTATTAAATTAGCTTTGCGAATAGTTCGGTGAATTGTGTTTGGATGCGGAATTATTTAAATTAAAATATCATTTACGTACTTTGTTAACCTTCACTGTACACCTTGCTTAAAAATTTCATATGGTACACACGAGGTGTCATGCACACCAGAAAATTAAAACGGTCGTCACGGTTAAACTACTTATTATTTCGGGTCCGAAAAATTAGTAAATATTCTTCAGACATTCTGAAATATGGATGAACAGCGTTTTTCTTAAAATTATCACTGTCACGTGGTAAAAAAAAAATATCAAAAGTCCATCCTCCGTGAGTTCTTCATTGATTCGAACGCGGCACAGAATCCCCCTTCAGCTGTCAAACCCAGTGGTAGGAGCACGTGGCTTTCGATCGATTGACCACGTTGTGTTTCGCGCCATTGTCTCTCATTGGTCGGTGTTTTTCATTAATAACTCGTAAACGAAGCCGCAGATTGCATTTTCGCAAAGGAAAAAGTTAATTCAAATGACCTCAGCTACCCCTACTTTTCGGCTGTTAAAATAATTGTGGAACACCCATATCATTTTAATTTTCCATAAACATCTGCAGTATTCAATAATTTGTTCAGTCTTAACGATCGATTATTTTATTTATCACGATCGAGGTTGAATCTCATCTCGAATCGATTGAGGAGGAAAGTATTAGTATTTTGATTCTCACCCGTGTTAACGTAACTAGAAAATTAGTTCCCATAAGTATCAGCACATTTATCAGTTCTTTAATCCATCTTTTTCTTTTTGTAGTAGTAAGCGCCGCATTATTTGCGTTCCTGTCCTCGATAACGTCTGAAAAATGCTCAGGTTTTGTTATCTCGCACAATTTATAATGACACACCTAAAAACCACTGTTTGTAAATACTGAACACGCTCGGTAATCGGTCAGATATTCTTCACACGTGTAATTATCTTATCAAAGCATGGTTCTGTTAATACTCTTACTATAACATGATAAACGCATTGACTATCTACCTGGATCATATGTATACTTGACTAATCTCATTTATTTATAAACTCGATTCACAGTCTAATAATGTCTCAAGAGAGACCATGGACCATCAGAGATCGTTATCTTCTTCCGATAATCACTTACCATCTATTTCGTTTATAAGTTTCTGAGACACATATTGCTCGATGCAATTCTTTATAGATGCTAACTGCGATAAGATTCTGGCGGGTGACAAAACGGCCTCTACTTTGCTGCACACATAATCCTTCGCGTTGATGTACATCTTAAAGGGAACGCGAAATTAGATGACTTACGAATGCTAAATTTCGGAAAACAATGTGGTTGTTTAGAAACGAGTGACCAACGATCTTTCGTTACCACGCAGCGCCCTAATTTCCAACAGCTCCCGCAAGTGGGTCGAAAATTCTTTTCAATTCTACGAGGTTCGAGACCCTTTGTATTGTGGAGACAGTCGATGATCGCCTTCGCTAGTCGCTCGTTTCTCAGCATCCGACGATACACGCATGAAAGAACTTACTTGTCGAGGGGGCAGATGCACCGCCGGCACCTTTTCTTCGACCACGTCGATACCTTTGCAGAGCAAATGGTCGACCACAGTGATTGGACCACTGAAAACGTTGATGGCCGGTGTCGCTATCTCTTTTGCCACCACCAGCGATTGCTCGGCAGTGTCCAAGCCCCAGTTAATCAAAAAGTTCGAACGCTATATCGGATTAGAAAACGGCGCAATTGAGTTTCTCACGGGAACTTGGGCGCCGATGGAATCCTATTATTCATAGCCGACCACGCGAGTGAAAGAAAAGCACGAGTCTAGCAATAAATCATCGCAGATAAAACATCCATTATCAGAGGCTTTACGAACCCGAATCCCCATATTTCAATCGTTTCACGTGTGAACATACGGAAATTTCAAAACAGCAATGGATCGAGAATTATTTGTTGCGCGAGGAAAATTGATTTTCTCAAAAACAAATCGAAAACAACTCGACCAGCATATTGTCGGTTTGCAATGGAAGCTGCTGAAATTGAAGGGGAACCTATCAACGCGGGTATCACTCTAACTCGAAGTGCGACGACAGAAACGAAAGCTTCGCATCTGCGAGCTAATACAATTGGCGCAAGG